TCCCCTTCCGGGACATAGCCAGGCCCCACCCAGGTACTACAACTTAGGTGAAAGGTTGGAGACATAGTTTGTGGTAAGATGGTCTCCTTGGAGAACCAAAAAGACTTGACATCCACCCTGTTCTGATGCTCATGTGGTGTGGTAAATTAGTCAGCATTATATTTGGCTGCATTTAGCACAGACCCAAAATAACAGTGGTCCCAAGATAGGTAATTTACGGCTGGGATGGCATCTTTGACCCAAGAAGTCCTCAGGGCCCTCGGCTCCTTCAGCTCCCTACTCCACCATTCAGAGTGAGGCCCTTGTCCTCTTGCTCCAAGATGGTGCTGGAACTCTGGCTACCACATGCTACCAGGTATCAGGATGGAGGAAGGGGTGAAAACGAGTAGCAAAGGCTCACAGCAGCATCCTGAGAGCTGCCGTGTGACACTTCTGCTTATATTTCATTGGCCAAAATTAAGTTGCACGGCCATACCTAGTTGGGAGAAGCTGGGAAATGTAGCATTTATTCTGGATGGCCACGTCTCTACCTAAAACTCCAGAGTTCTAGAACTGAGAAAGAAGGGAAGAATAGATATTGGGGACAACTAGCAGCCTCTACAATAAGGGCTATATGTGTGTGTGTGCGTGTGTGCATGTGTCGTGTGTGAATGTGTGTATGAGCATGCGTGTTAGGTGTTGTTTGTGTTGGTGGGCGGGTTCTCCCCATCAGTTTACTCTCAGAATGGACCTGTTACAAATTCCCTCTGCCCACTCTGGTGGTCTCCCATAAAGCGAAAAAAAAAAAAAAAAAAAAACGAAAACAAAACCTGATGCCGTCAAGTGGATTCTGACTCATAGCGACCCTATAGAACTGCCCCACAGGGTTTGCAAGGAGCACCTGGTGGATTCGAACTGCCGATCTTTTGGTTAGCAGCCAAGTTCTTAACCACTGTGCCACCAGGATACCACCAGGGCACCCCATGGTTGGTTCTCCATGGGTCCCCCTAAACCTACCCTCCCCTCACCCCTTATGAAGACTGACTTGGCAGCAGCTTCTCAATTCCATGTTTCAATGAGCTGCAATTTATTGTAAGCATCCACTGACGCATATTATCAGAGGTAATAGAGGGACCTATAAAACTGCTTTCCCATTCAGGTATTAGAGGGTGGCCGTTACGTGAGAGTGACTACGACCAGAGCTAATCTGGGAATAAATTCTCGTGAGAAGGAAAGGAGAGTGTCACCAACACATGAATCCTAGAAGAGGTTACCGCTCAATCTTGTGCCACAGCGTAAAGACCCAGAAATACCAGGCACCCTGCTGAGATGGCCCACGCTTGATTCGGGGGTGGCTACAGGTAGTGTTGCCTGAGCTTTCCAAGCCCTGCCCAGTAATTACAATAAAGAGAGTTGACGTTTACTGCTCATTTCTCCTCCTTGTGTGCACACATGCATGCACACAGGTACACACACACACATACACACACAGTAGGCAGGGGCTTTACTGGCTTCATCTTATTTACCCTTTTGAGCCAGGGGCCCCATTTTACAGCTAGGAACTGATGTTTTAGGGAAGTTCAGTAAGTTGCCCAGAGACACACAGCTAGTAAGAGCAGAGGTCAGCTGCTGAAGCCTCAGGGCCTAACCACTATGCTCACCCCCCTCTGTTAAAGTTTCATGGAACTGTAATAGAGATCACACTATATAACTTCATTCTGCAAACATTTGGTGTGTTACTTAGGTGTATGTGTGTATGATGTGCTACTGAGTTTCTTTGGACTCATAGCGACCCTATGTACAACAAAACGAAACACTGCCCAGTCCTGCGCCATCCTCACAATCACTTTTATGCTTGAGCCCATTGTTGCAGCCACTATGTCAATCCATCTTGCTAAGGGTCTTCCTCTTTTTCGCTGGCCCTCTGCTTTACCAAGCATGATGTCCTTCTCCAGGGACTGGTCCCTCCTGATAACACGTCCAAAGTACATGAGACAAACTCTCCCCATCCTTGCTTCTAATGAGCATTCTGGCTGTACTTCTTCCAAGATAGATTTATTCGTTCTTCTCGCAGTCTGTGGTATATTCAATATTTTTTGATAACACCATAATTCTAATGCATCAATTCTTCTTCGGTCTTCCTTATTCATTACCCAGCTTTCACATACATATGAGGTGATTGAAAACACCATGGCTTAGGTCAGGCACACCTTAGTCCTCAAAGTGACATTATTACTTGGAGCCCTGGTGGCACAGTGGTTAAGAGATTAGCTGCTAATAGCCAGAAGGTCAGCAGTTCAAATCCACCAGCCACTCCTTGGAAACCCTATGGGGCAGTTCTACTCAGTCCTATGGTGTCAGTAATAAGTAGTTAATATAAAAAGGTTTGGAGTCTCCGGGTGGTACAAATGGTTAATGCACTCAGCTTCTAACTAGAAGACTGGAGATTTTAATCCACTCAAAGGTGCTTCAGAAGAAAGACCTGGTGATCTACTTCTGAAAAGTCAGCCATCAAAAACCCTGTGGAGCACGGTTCTAGTCTCACATACAAGGGGTCACCATGAATTGGAATCAACTGCAACTTGTTAGTTGGCTTACAGGGAGTTTTAATTTTTTAAGAGAGAAAACAAACACAAAAACATTTTAAGTACCCCCCCAGATTACTTAGTGTCATGGATTAAATTGTGTCCCCCCAAAATATGTGTCAACTTGGCTAAGCCATGATTCCCAGTAATGTGTGGTTGTCCATCATTTCGTGATCTGATGTGATTATCCTATGAGTTGTAAATCCTAACCTCTATGATATTAATGAGGCAGGATTAGAGGCAGTTATGCTAATGAGGAAGGACTTTATAGGATTAGATTGTATTTTGAATCAATCTCTTTTGGGATATAAAAGAAAGAAGCAAGCAAGGAGGAGAGGGACCTCATACCACCAAGAAAGAAGCACCAGGAGCAGAGTATGTCCTTTGGACTCGGGGTCCCTGCACTAAGAAGCTTCTAGACCAGGGAAGATTGATGAAAAGGACCTTACCCCAGAGCCAACAGAGACAGAAGGCCTTTCCCAGGAGCTAATGCCCTGAATTCGGACTTCTAGCCTCCTAGACTGTGAGAGAATAAATTTGTTTTGTTAAAGCCATCCACTTGTGGTATTTCTGTTATAGCAGCGCTAGATAACTAAGACACTTAGTATTTTTCATATTTGAAGTTTAGATGGGGACACCATTCCACAGCTGCATCCTAGAGCAGGGTATTTGTTCCCAGCGCCATGTTCCCAGGAGCTGCCCTTGACTGGGAATCTAGGCTCTCTTGAAAGGCTGGAGAAACTGGTGGGATGGGGCAGAGTGGAAGACCCCAGCCTTCCTAGGTCTGGCAGCCCTGGGTGTGACTTACCTGCCTGACTCTGGGTAAGTTAATTCATCTTCCTGAGCCTCGTTTTTTCCTCGTCTATAAAATTCAGACCGTAAACACATACATTTGATCAAGGATTATGAATAATATATATGTACAGACGGCTTTATTTTTTTTAAGATATTGCCAGAAAATGAATTATACTAATAATTCCACTTATGGACAGAAAATATGTTACCTGTTTCTATCAAGACTCAAATAAAGATGAACACAAAAAGCAGAGATTAATTTTTCCATCCCAAGAGGCTTCATCCTAATATTTACTTACATTTTATTATTATTTCAGACTCATGCCCACATACTTAACATGGATCATTGGCTATAGACTCTCATACATTTAACTTTATTACCACTTGCCTCACGTATCTCATTAAAACTTTGCTGTTTAATCAAGAATCTGCATACTGTTAATTTTAGAGTTCCTGGTTCCATGGCTTTGAAAGTTTCATACGTTCTAGGTGAGCATGTTATGCTCTTTCTGCCTCCACGCCTTTACATAAACTCTTTCTTTGCTGCCTACGGCCACTCACTTTCTGCTCTTATTAACTCCTACTCGGTCTTTAATACCCAACTCAGGTGACACCTCTTCCAAAGAGCCCCCTTTGTACTCTCATGTTATCTTGTATTTGTAATTGTAGCAAAGCTCTCTCTTCCTGTATTGGAATTGCTCATTTACTTGTTTGTCTCTCCTATTAAACTGTAGGCCACTTGTAATGTTGTTCATTATTATAGTCTTGGTACCTACCACTGTATTGCAGCCCTGGTGACGCAGTGGTTAAGAGCTACAGCCGCTAATCAAAAGGTTGGCAGTTCAAATCCACCAGCCATTCCTTGGAAACCCTATGGGGCAGTTCTACTCTGTCCTATAGGATCGCTATGAGTCGGAATCAACTCAATGGCAACGGGTTTAGTTTTTTTTTTTTTGGTTTACCAGTGTATTTGACATATCATTGGACCCTCCATAAAGGCTGGTTGAATTCAGGTTTGCTCCCAGTGGGACAGAAAAGGAGTAATAAAGCAAGTGATAAATGCTATCATGGGGCTATTGGCAGCTACTGTGAGAAAGGAACAGAGAGGCCAAGTAACATAATCTCAAATAATAGGGTACATTTCATGACACCTTTTAAAGCTCTTTCACATGCATTATCTAATATGATCCTCATAAAATCCAGAAGATGGGTATATTACAGGGGATGAGGTTATGTGACACGCTTAAAACCATGCAGCTAGAAAATGACTGGATTCAGACCAGACCTTAAAAGCCTCTTCTCTCTTCCTTGAACCATGCAATCAAGTCCACATCATCACCACAACTTCCACCTGATCATGCCCTGGCTTACTGCGCTGTAGTTCACAGGATACCACCTGTGGTTTTATTGATCAGGCCTTGCCTCTTCCCCAAGAGAAAGCATTTCATTGACATATTTCTAGATAATGAATTGTCTTTGGCTTTGAGGAGAAGGTAACCAAGACAGAATGCGAATCTTGTGTTATCCACATCTGGTCACGTGGTTGCTGAGAGAGCACATGGGTGTGTTCTGAGATGCCAGCCCCTTGCAACGTCTGCTTCCTTCTATTTTCAGGCTTAAGAAGCACATCCTGGGGAGAAAATGCGGTGTGGAACCCTGTGCCACCTCCTGTGGCTTTGGCACTCTCTGTCCTACATTCAAGCTGTGCCCATCCAAAAAGTCCAAGATGACACCAAAACCCTTATCAAGATCATTGTCACCAGGATCAGTGACATTCCACACATGGTAGGGACAGTCTGGCGGAGGCGGGGCGGGGGCTCCCAGGGCCAATGACCTTGAATAACCCCAGCCCAGCACTGGCTCCCAGTGGGGCTGGAACCAGATGGTTCAAGAAACATCTATTGAGCACCTCCTAAATGCCAGGCACCTACTGGAAGCACAGGGCTCTGCTCTTTCTGGTTGTCCTCTGTCCTGTTTGCCTGCTGGGATTTAGGTGTGTGTGGTCCTCATTTTAAACCACTCTGAAAGCATTTAACTTTGCCACATGTTTCCATTAAAAATCACATGACTCTCTGACATCATGGGGCCACAGGTGCTTGTTTGCACTCAGAGGTTAGCAGAGGCAGGTGCAGTGACATGTAAGGTCTGTGCTGGCCTTGATGCCTCACTGCTTTATCAAAAGCCTCCTCTCGCCTCTGTCTCTTGCCTCTTCACTCCCCTTCTCTCTGACTTCATTTCGTTGAATTCTAGTGCTCAGACCAGACAGAGCCGTAAAGGTCCTCTGTCCCATGAGTGATGACCAGACCTCCAGCAGCATCCTCCCTGGACCTCACCATGTGGCCCCAATTCTGTCTCTAGAGTACATTTATCATTGGTCGTTTTTCCTATAAATCTTCCTGCATTACTACTAGCCCTGCCTTTCAAGGCAACACAAAAGGAGTCTACCTCTCTCACCTGCAACCCTCTACCTATTTACAAACAGCTGTTGAGCCCCCTCCCCGCAACGGTGTTTTCTCTGGGGTCAACAGGCCTAGACCTTCAGCCGTTTCCCAGATGAGGTCTATATTGTGGAATTAGGAAGACTAAGTGTGAGAGGAGCCCTGGTGGTGTGGTGGTTAAGTGCTCGGCTGTTAACCAAAAGGTTGGCAGTTTGAAACCACCAGTGGATGGTGGGAGGCAGGAAAAAGATGTGGCTGCCTGTTTCCGAAGATTTACAGCCTTGGAAGCCCTATGGGGCAGTTCTACCCTGTCCTACAGTGTCGCTATGAGTTGGAATCGACTCGATGGCAGTGGGTAAGCGTGAATCTTCATACTTCTGTTCTCTTCCTGTGGGATCTTGAACTAATTTCTTGATGTTTTTAAGCCTTGGTTTCATCCAGGGCTTCAAACCAGTTCAAACTGGTTCAGTCACGGCCAGTGAAGTGAAATCGGAACAGACCTTAGTTTTTAAAATTTGGGGGAAGTGCAACGATAAGCTGAACCAAAAAAATTGTGGGTTGAAGCCCTGGTATGGGAGACTCTGAAGAGGCATAGCGAGCCCTTTCAGGAGCCTGATGCAGGAGACTGGATTATGGCCAGGATTATGGAGAGCAACACACATTCAAGGGCACCGCTGTTTCAGACTCTGCCGGAAGAGATTTGGTTGCTGTGCAATGCACACACTGCCCTTGTTTTCTAAGAGGGAGATTAAGTTTCTAGGAGGGCTTCAACCCATAAGTTTTCCCGTTCCACTTATCGTTCCACTTTACACACATTTTAAAAATTCGGGTCCATTCAGGTTTCACTTCATCGGCCATGACTGAACTAGGCACAATCAGCTCAAAGCCCTAGTTTCATCATCTAGATAATGGAAATAAAATACAGTCTTCACAAGGTTGCTAGGAGATTTAAGTTAGATAAGCAAACCAACCAGTGGCCATTGAGTCCATTGTGACTCTTGGAGACCCCATGTGTATCAGAGCAGAACTGTGCTCTATAGGGTTTTCAATGGCTAATTTTTCAGAAGTAGGTCACCAGGCCATTCTTCTGAGGCAACTCTGGGTGGACTTGAACTTCTGATGTTTTGGTTAGCAGCCAAGAATGTTAACCATTTGCACCAGGGACTCCTAAGTTAGATAAAGCAGGTGAGAACACCCACCTCCCCTCCATGGAGCCAAGAACAGACTGCACCCTTAGTAAAGTTTACACTTGTGGGTTTTGGTGGCCCCAGGTTGGTCGTCTGCTTCTGTAAAGATTACAGCCAAGAAAATCCTATGGAGCTGTTCTACTCTGTAACACATGGGGTTGCCATGAGAGAATCAACTCGATGGCAATGCGTTTGGAGCTAAATAAGAAATAGGAAGACATGGGGGTTCTTAAGTGTAGGCCACTTGAAAAAGCAAAGGACTTGAGAAGTATGGCCTGTGAGTGGAGGGCAAGGTGGTTTGAGAAGGGCAGGAAGGCAGGAGTCCAGGAGGCTGGTCAGAGGCTCAGCAGTCACCTGGGATCAAGAAATCAGGGTCTGGGATAGCAAGGAAGGGGAAGGAGGCAACTGGGAGAATGATCCTTTACCTTGTGGGAAAGGCCCGAGGGCCCTGCAGGATTGATTTCTCCCCTCCTTGCTGAGCTCTCACCCTGCCTTTTCCTCCTGCACAGCAGTCTGTCTCCCCCAAACAGAGGGTGACTGGCTTGGACTTCATTCCTGGTCTCCAGCCTGTCTGGACCTTCCCCAAGGTGGACCAGACTTTGGCGATCTACCAGCAGATTCTCATGCGTCTGCCTTCCACAAATGTGATCCAAATAACCAATGACCTGGAGAACCTCCGAGACCTCCTCCGGATGCTGGCTGTGTCCAAGTGCTGCTTATACCGCAAAGCCAGTGGCCTGAAGAGCTTGGAGAGTCTGGGCAGTGTCCTGGAGGCCTCACTCCACTCCATGGAGGTGGTGGCCCTGAGCCGGCTGCGGGGGTTTCTGCAGGACATGCTGCAGCAGCTGGAACTCAGCCTCAGGTGCTGAAACCCTGCTGGCCTGTCCTTCCCCAAGGGCCAGCATCAAGGGGAGAAGCTCAGGCTCCCAGGTGTCTCCAGGAGCAGTGAGCATGTGTGGACATCGCTGATCTATGACTCTAGTCCATTCTCTCTTACTCCTCTAAGCCACCCTGCCAAAGGCATAAGACTCCAAGATATGTTGCTTGAAACCAAAGATATATATACATAATTCCATGCTCTCCGGGAAGGGAGGCCCATCCAGAGAACCATGAGCTCTATCTGTGCTTCTCACAAGTCTTCAGCCACCAGCAGGAGTCATTCTGTCCCCGTCCCCAGTCATCTGTCCTCTCACTGTTTGCTTCAGTGACTCGGGGGATTGCAGAGGGGGGCCCAGAGCCTCTGGGCAATTGGAGCAAGGTTGAGTTTGAGAATTCTGGGGAACACCCTCTGGATACCTTCCCAGCTGGAACTCCCAAGCAGCACAAGTTGGAAGCATTTATTTATTTATTATGCATTTTATTGTGGATGGGATAGAACGAAGACTGTGTGGGGTCAGCCAGGGCTCGGGATAATCTTCCAAGCAAGAGCCAGCCGAAGGTAGCACTCAAGTTAGTGTCTCATAACTTGCTTTGTTTCTATTGTGACTGATTTCAAGTGTTTGCAATGGCATTGCCTTAAGCGGATCTCCAAGGCCAGGTTATTTTAAAAAGAAGATGAACTTTGTCAAGTGTGATATGTAGCTGTGTGCATTGGGTGGGACGTGTGTTTTCTGAATAAGTTTGTGTGGTGAGTTCTTGGGATGAGGTGAGGTCAGTTTCTCATCGTCTGCAGCCACATAAGAGGGTGGTTTCCATGGAAATAACAAAGGAGGTGACTCTTCCAAGGGGATGTGGTGTTTTGCCAGGTGTCCCTGGAGGGGCAGGGCTGAAGCATAGTCTCTCTGTTGGGGCAGAGGTGAGCTCTGGCCTTCCCCAACTGCCAGCAAGAGTGAGTGGTCTTTCTTATCAGGGACTCAGGGTCCTACACTCAAGACAGTGGTCCCCAGAGCTGAGGTCCTCAATATAGCCCTCTGAACGGTCATGTTAGAGCCATATCGGGGTTAGACATGGCAGTGTCCCTGTTGGGGTTTGCATGCCACATTGTGGTTCTCATCTGATTGGCTCATCCCAAGCAAAGCCATGTTTCCCACCCATTCTGGAAAGATTTTGATCCAATGGGAAGGAGACATGCATAGCTGGACCTGGACCTGCACTGCTGGATGAGCCAGGACCCCAGGCCAGGCCTCCAGGATCGCCATCCCACAGCGGGGTTGGGTCCAGATGGATGGACATGAGTTTTTCCACCATTCACGTTGATGTTGCCATCACATGGGGTGGTGGACCTTTCCAAAGAATTTGAACCAAAGCAATAAACTTTGACTGAGCGCCTCCGGTGTGCTCAGCCCTAACTGGTGCTATGGGTGAGAGAAGCTCACAAAATAGCCCTGACAAGCCACTCCTGCCCTCAGGGACCTGCATTGCATGCGGTAAACCCGCCTCATGGGTGTGCAAATGCCGGCAACCAAAACAGTGGGAGCACAGTGCCATAATCAGCAGGTGGAAAAGGTATGAACTGAGGGAGGCAGTCCCCAGGGGCCCACAGATCAACCCCGCTTGCACGTCTTAGCATTTCTACTGTTCAGGGCACGTTCGCATCTATTACCGTGTAACCACATCCCTTTGAAGCCGGATAACTGAGAATTTAAACATAAGAAAACACCAAAGACTGAAACAGCCCACAAGTAGCAGAAGCAGAACTAGAACCCAGGTCCTCTGACCCCCAGAAATGCTCTCTAGTGACACAAACAAGGTTGGAGCAGGAAAGATGAGGAGTTTTGAGGCAGATTTTGAAAGAACTGAGGGTTGTGAATTGCCTGGAGGAAGAAGGCTATTTTATTGGAAATTCTGGTGTATTTAGATACAAACGTGAAGGTATGAAGAGTGACTTACAGATGTCAGAGAGATGAGAGGAAAGCAGGCATGCTGAAGGAGGCTTGAGGGACAAAGAAGTTGGATATTGAAAGAATGTCAAGTGGAAAGTTCTAGAACAGAGATTCATGTGACAGATGAGGTCAGGCCTCCTCTGGTAAACGTGACCTAGATCACTGTGGCCACCAAGTCAGTCTGAGGCATTTTAAGCCTTTTTCTCACAAAACCTGCCACCACAGATCATTCTCATGGTGTGAAACTTCCCAAAGGTAAATGATTGTCTCATTTTGTAACTTAAAAATACAAAAATATATATTTGTTTGTTTGTTAAAAAAAATCCAAATAAATTAACTTTCTTTCCTGGCCTTTGTTTTCTGTCACCGTTGTGGAGGGGCTTCAGAAGAGCTGTTCGTGTGTAACAGGGCATGGCTTGGCTACCCTCCATCCACCACCGGGGTCAGCTCCGCCCTGGGCTTGGCCACAGCCAGCCGCCAGTTATTCAGGTGAAAGGATTACCCCCAAAGCACAGAGCTGGCGACGTGAGCACATTCTGCACCAGAGTCCATGGAGTTCTGCAAATCGACCTTGAGAGGCACCCAATTGTTTTAAAACAGAAAACAAGCAAACAATCAAACAAAGCCCATGCAGCCCATTAAGAGACCCAGCCAGGTGCTTAGAGTCAAAAATACAGAGCTTCTCTTGTTGTAGGCACAGAGCACAGAAAATCGTCTCATGGTGCAGTTAGGACATGATCCTTTCAACCCAACTCCTGGGGCCAGTGGAGTGTGGGTGGGGGCAGGGGGGACTGGGGTGGCTGGCAAAGCCACAACACTACAAAAGCAATCGTTTCCATGGGTGGTTTCAAGAACTGACCCCCACTTTACATAAACTACATCCCAACTATAACTCAAAAGTGAGAGGGGATAAATGCAGTTAAAGTGATCCAGGCTTCTCCATTATCAGGGACTTGGTGGCACAGTGGTTAAGAGCTCGGCTGCTAACTGAAAGGTCAACAGTTCGAACCCATTAGCTGCTGTGCGGGGGAAAGATGTGGCAGTCTGCTTCCATAAAGAAACCCTATGGGGCAGTTCTACTCTGTTACATGGGGTTGCTATGAGTCGGAAGTGACTCAACGGCACCCAGCAACAATAACAACAAATCAAAGATGAATATTATAATCTCTATAAACTAAAATAATAGTAAATATATACATATAGCAAACAAACTAATACAAGAAAAATGGAATTGGAAAAAAAAAATTGACTAATCAAAAAAAGAACTGACCCCCAGGGTTGCTGGCTGCTCCAAGGATTAAATGAGACAATGAACCAGCAGAGTGTCAGAACCTTCCTTCCCTTCACATCACAATTAGCAACGGCTTTAAGGTCTGGTCCTGGACCAGGAGCACGTGATGTAAGTTCTCCCTTCAGTTTAGACAACAGCTGCCGGATCCTTCCATGCAGACAAACTTGGATGGGGATGGGGAGGGCCACCGAGCTCCTGAATGAGATGAGATCGCAGAATCTCTAATTATGCACAGCCTAAATTAGTTACTTGGAAGCTCAAGGAAGAGGCTGGCTGCTGTACCAGTTGGGACTTCTTTAGCTGCAAGTGATATAAACACAGGAAAACCCACTTTAAAAAAAGAGAGAGTTTAGTGGCCCATGTTGCTAAGAAGTCAGACCTGGTCCATCTCATAGCTCTGCTTTCCTCTGCACTTATTTCTTTCCTAGGCAGCCTCTCTGTCTCCATGTGGTGGCAAAGATTCCTCTAGCATCTCCACACTTACGGAGTCCTTGGCTGGTGCCCATGATCACAGGAGAAAGCATTTGTTTCCCAGTAGTTCTAGCAAAACTTTCAAGGAAAGCTCTTATTGGTCAGGCCTAGGTCACATGTCCACCTCTATTGCCAAGGATGGGACAGCCCCATGTGAACCACAAGGGCAAAGAACGGGGGCACAATCATCCCACAGAAAGATGCACAGCAAAATAAATAAATATAATAAAACAAAACAAAAAAAATAAACATTTTTATACCCACCACAACATCCCATGCTCTCTGGAGTCCCATGAAGTTTACAGCTTAGCTTGGGAAGACCTTGAGTCCTTGAGACCTGGTTGCAGTGTCCGGCACCGTTCAGAGTCCCATTATTGTTTGGCGATTGTCTTAGTTTCCTAGAGCCGCTATAACAAAATACCACAAAGTGGATGGCTTATAAGAACAGAAATGTATTTTCTCACAATTCTGGAGACTAGAAGTCGAAACTAGGGTCTCAGTCATGTTGATTCCTTCTCCGGGCTTAGAGAGCAAAACTGTTCTATGCCTTTCTCCTGGTTCTCATGGCTCCTGGCAATCCTTGGCGTTCCTTGGCTTGTAAACAGATCTTCATATGCTGTCTCCCCTCTGTGTATGTGACTCTGTTCCTTCCTCTGTCCTCTCTTATTGGCCACTTCCTCAAGCTCCAAATAACCAAGGAATTAGGATTAGGACCCACGTTACTCCAGTATGACTTTGTTAACTGATAGCATTTACAAATAAAAACCCTATTTTCCCAAACAAGGTCAAATTCACAGGTACAGGGATTAGGACTTCAATATATCTTTGTGGGGGACACAATTCAATCCATAACAGCAACCAAAAGAATTGAGACTCTTGCATAACAAGCCCATTATTTACATGTAAGCAAATGCTGTAGAAAGCTTACAGACAATTCTAACCATTAAAAGGTTAAACTTCCTATTGGAAGTTTCTCTCAGCAAACCCCTTCTTTTTCAGTTCAAAGATATAGACCCAAACCAATTGTAAAATTCAACATTGAGACAATGAAGAAAATTTGAATATCGATTCCATGTTAGATGATGATAATGAATTGTTGATTTTATTAGGTGTGATGTTGGCAGAGTAGTGAATTATTGTTAAATACTTCCTTATTTGTTAGAGGTGCAAATGGAAGTATTTTAGGGTGAAATGGTGTGATGTCTGGGATTTACTTAAAATACTTCAGCCAAAAAAGAAAAGATGTGAAGGGTTAGATCAACGAGATCGGTAAACTGTTGATAAG